GGTTTCCAGTTGAGTAATAAAAAGAGTTTATATTATACTTATTTAAAATACCATTAGTAGATACACTAACCTTGATTTTTTTTTTTTATTATTGTTTAATCCTCATATTAATCTTACATCTCAAAATCCTCTTTAACTTCTTCTTCTTCTTCTTTTTATTATTATTATTCTTGTTGTTGTTATTATTATATAGTTAACCTCCTTGTAGGTCGACCTCGGTCTTGTCGGGTTATTTATTACTTCGACACTCCTGCACTTAGAAGAAAACATCAATATTTTGATTGTGTTAAAATGCAAGCTAAAGCAACACCTCTATTTTGTGATAATATGTCAACAATTTCAATGGCCAAGAATCTAGTTTTTCATCAAAAAACTAGACACATAAACAGGAAGTATCATTTCATAAGGGAAGTTCTGTAAGAGAAAGTGATCAACATGCAATTTTGCAAAAGTGAAGAACAACTTGTAGATATTTTTACAAAAGCTCTGTCTAAAGACAAATTCAAGCAACTAAGATTGAAACTTGGAGTTAAACCAGTAAGTAGCTTAGGAGAGGGTATTGAAAGATTACTTGGATTTCAAGCCTCAGAAGTAAATCCTACAAGCTATAACGAGAAAAATAAAGAAATGAAAGGAGTTTTCTGATAAAGAAAGTTACAGCAATTACAATTAGTTTTTTTTGTTATAACCGTTTCTTACATATATAAGAGTCGTAGCCCTCAATCATTGAAATGTTGAGATGAGTTGATTTCTAAATTTTAGAATTTAGTTATTGGAAGCATGCACCAAGTATAAAAGCAGGTTTCCTGCTGAGCTAAAAACAGTGGAATACAAGAACATTTTTCATTTTTTTTCCCTCTCTGAAAATTTTTCTTCTACAAACTCTTCTTTTAAACTAAAAACAAACAAAAACAATGTGCTTGGTATGGGAAAATCTCACGGTGGAGCTACCTAGCATGATCACAAGTGGTTCAACGAGGAAATTGCTAAGTGATCTTAGTGGTTATGCTGAACCAGGCCATATCATGGCTATCATGGGACCTTCTGGGTCCGGCAAATCCACGCTACTTGACTCATTGGCTGGTATAAGTCTCTCCTCATCAACCTGAAGACCCTATTTTTGAAAAATAATTTGTGGATGGTTAATGAACATATTGCAACCTGTAGTTAATGATTCTGCATGTTCAAACTATACATGAGTTATGATTCTGTTCCGATTTTCTTTCTTGATCCCATAAACAGGAAGACTTTCTTCAAATGTTAAATTGAGTGGAAAAGTCCTTATCAATGCCAAGAGAAGCAGCATAGAGTGCAGAGATATTGTAAGGAGTTCGAAGTACCTCTAATAACGCGGGTTACTTCTTCAGGTCTTGCTTTGTTTCTATCTGTTTACAGCAAATATTGGAAGGTCAGCTAAATATTGTTTATCATCTTACCTGGTATATGTTTCTTCAAATTTCAGTCTTACGTTACTCAAGAAGATTTTTTCTTGGGAACCCTTACAGTCAGAGAAACAATTACTTACTCGGCTCACATGAGGCTTCCTGGGAAAACGACTAAAGACGAGATAGATAGTGTTGTTGACAACACAATAATGGAGTTCGGTCTTCAAGATTGCGCTGATTCTAAGATTGGAAATTGGCATTTAAGGGGCATAAGCACTGGTGAAAAGAAGAGACTTAGCATTAGTGTTGAAATTTTAACACGTCCACATATTATGCTCCTTGATGAGCCCACTACTGGCCTGGATAGTGCTTCAGCTTTCTTTGTGATAAGAGCTCTTAGCAGCATTGCTTATGATGGAAAGATTGTCATTTGTTCCATTCATCAGCCAAGTAGCGATGTTTTCAATCTTTTAGATGATTTGCTGCTTCTCTCAGGAGGAGAAACTGTCTATTTCGGAGAAGCGAAAATGGCAGTGAAGGTCCGTGAATACAAGTTTTATGTTAGAACCCAGACATGAACTTTTTAAAAAAGCACTGCTTTTATAATATCTATTAAAACAGTTTTTCGCAGAAGCCGGATTCCCTTGTCCAACTAAAAGAAATCCTTCTGATCACTTCCTGCGTTGTATAAATTTGGACTTTGATATCATTGCAGAAGCTCTGTTGCGATATCAGAACATCTGCGTAAGTTTAAAGTCAGAATTTGTTGATTATTCAAAGCTGTTTCTATTGATCCTCCACAGGATAGCTTTATGTTTTCTTTCTTTTATGGTTCCTTACAGGCAATCCCAGAATCGTCAAGTAATTCGGTAAAGATGAAAACTGCGGAGATCAGAGAAACACTTATTGAGAAGTACAAGTGCTCTGAGTTTTCAATTAATACAAGAATCCCTGCACTCGTCTGCCGGGTTACGCTACACACAAATATATATGGTCGATAACTCTACCCATTCTAATCTGCTTGTCTTTGAATGAAAGTCTACTGAGGATTATCAACCAAGCTGTGAAGCTGTATTTAGAAATATTGAGAGAGTTCCCTAGAATTTTACGCCAATAAACCCTCACACTTCTATCTCTTATCTCTTCCCAGGCACTTTTAACACTGAAATAAAAATTATATATATATATATATATATAAAAATTTAGTATCAAATTTATAAATTAAACAACAAAGAAATATATTAAACTAAACAATTAAACATATAATTTCATTTGACCTTAAGGTTGTTGGGAAAATTATTTAGTAAAACCAATGAAACATATTTGCAAGATAATAAAAACATGAACACAAAATATTAAAAAAGAAGAAGATAAGGATAGAGTATTTATTTGTAGAATTGTAGATATGAATTAAAACCAAAACGGGAAAGAAAATTGTTTCCAAGGATTGTATTCTCTGTATTTAAAGCTAAATTGTCTGTCAATATGTGTAAACAATATCAGTGCAACTTGCCTTCCATTATGTCAATAACAATACCTCGAAAAGATATACTCCCAATCAAGGCCTAAAAAGTAGAAAAGTTGAACATTTTCTCAGCTACAATGAAATTTTCTTTGCAACAAGGAAACCTAAAGCTAGAGGAAAGAGAGCACAAGAGCAAACAGTGCAAAGATTCAGGTGTTTCGTCGAGAAAGGTTGGGTGGAGATTACGGAGAGGCTGTGCTTGTGCTGTCGAACTTCTTCTCATCATTCCCATTCTTGCTTGCCATATCTCTTCTTTCAGGAACAATAATCTATTACATGGTGAAATTTCATCCAGGATTTCCTCACTATGCCTTTTTCTGCATCAATCTCTTTTGCTGTCTCTCTGTCGTAGAAACTTGTATGATGACTGTTGCATATCTGGTGCCTAATGTCTTGATGGGCATTGCATATCTGGGGCCTAATGTCTTGATGGGCATCGGTATTGGAATCGGTGTAATTGTAAGTGAAGTTCACACTTCCAGCATTAAAGTGATTGATTCCAAAAGTTTAATTTGTTAGTTAATGCAGTACTAAAAACACATGCTTTTCTGCAGGTCTTTATGATGATGGCATCTGAAATCTTCAGACCTGTACCAGACCTTCCAAAATTCTTCTGGCGTTACCCAGTCTCCTACATCAGTTTCGCGACATGGGCAATCCAGGTACATTTTCAGAGTTGTAATTTATCCTTGAACTGCAAACCTTCAGGTTGATTCAAAAACCTTACTGAAAACATAGGGTGAGTACAAGAACGAAATGATTGGGCTCGAGTTTGATCCTTTACTTCCAGGAAACTCAAAGGTGAAGGGAGAAACAATCCTACAAACAGTTTTCGGAGTTCCCTTGAATCATTCCAAATGGTGGGATTTGACTGCACTGTTATTCGTTTTACTAACCCATCGACCAGTCTTGTACATGGTACTGAAGTACAAGGATAGAATAGCTTCAAAATTTCCCAGGCTACATGCCAATAAAACTGTCCAACACCTTGCAAGGAGAGTTTCGAAAGCGGGCGAAAGGCTTTCTTCCTTGAAGAGACACCATCCTCTGTTAGGTGATCCAAACATTTAAATACACATAAATTTACGTGGTTCGGCAACTTCTGGTCTCCAATACCTTAGTTTACAAGAAGAAGTCCAGTTGTTTCAGTAAGATTAAGAGAGCTTTCTGTTAATTTCTTTCAATGTACGCTCAAAAGTTTGCACGCTTGAATTTCGCAGCAAACAGCAGATCTATGCATGCATGTATCCAGCTATTATTTGACGACAATAAAAATGCAGAATGAATTTAGGATCATTTTCATGCTAAAAATTCCTCACAGTTTTTACTTGTCAAAATCCTCCCAACATAATTGTACCATGATGTAAGAATAACTTTCAAATCTTGATTATTTTTTTAATCAAATTTATAGCAAAAAGATTTAAATTCAAAATCTGCAGTTCAACGTTAAATTCAAAATCCTCCCAACATAATTATATAGGTTTAAATAGAAAAATAAAAACTTGATATTACTAGACACGACATCATAGTTACAAGCCAGTAAACCTGCAATTCAACGGGTACTCGTAAAGCCCTTTCCTTGAAAAGATTTTAAATTCAAAACTCTTATATTTTCTTTTTTCAAAAAGAATAAAAATAAAATATAATCCTACAATTACTATCAATTCATAAACTAAAGCACTTTCCTATTGGAGGCAAAAAATGTTTAGAATACAAGGGATCAAGATCCCGATATTTTAATTAAGGAATAAAATTCTTGTGCAATAGTCAATTAGCTCATGTCCAGTTGAAGCGTATGTTTGGTATTAGATGTAGAATATTTTTTAAAAGTTTTTTTTAATTGAAGATATATTAAATTAATATTTATTTATATTTATTTTCTTTATTTTTGATACCCGCATATCAAAATTATTTAAAAAATACCTAAAAAATCAATTATATGTTTTTAAATAAATAAATATTTTAAAATAAATAAATTATAATACAAAAATAAAAACTCATAAAGTAAGTAAAATGAAAGGACAGGCCTTTAAATAAATCTTTCTTTTAGGTCTGTGGACAATAATAATCATGGATATTTGATCCTACATTTAAAGAAAATATTTCATTCATATCACATTAGAAAGCCTAAATAGAGATAATTAAAAATTAAATTTTATAACTTATTTTAATTTAATTTTTATAAAATTATATCTTCATAATTTATGTCACTAATTTAACAAGTTAATTAAAGTTAACCAAAATAAATATTTTGAAACATAGGTATCGCTATATATCACACTTTTTAGATTCCTCTTGACCTCTTAAAAGTTTTTATAAAAATATAAGTTTATTTTTTTTTGTTTTTCTTAACCTTTTATAATATTTACTAAGTATAAACTTATTTTTCATGGATGTCCACTAGTTACTTAAAATTTTTTTAAGTATAAATTTCTTCTTTATAAATTTCATCTCATCTTTTAAAAAGTTTTTTAAAATATAAAATTCTTTATATCTCACCTTATTTTCATAGAAATTTTTCTAAGTATAATTTCTTTCATAGTTTCTTTTTATAAATTTAAAAATTTCTTTAAACATAGTATACTTCTGGGAACACGGATTATCCATTTAATAAATTTAGGGTTTTATTCTCTTTTTTTAAAAAACATTATGATAATTTAATAATTTTACAAGTTTTTATAAATTAGCATCACAAAAATTTAAAAAGTTACTAATAAATTTAAATTTAATGGGTCGAAAATACCTACTAAAAAACTAGCTCAGAAACCTTCACCAAGTAAAATAGACCTAAGGTTATTGCTTGAAATAATTAGATCCACACGTATCCGTCTAGACACGATTAATTTTTAGATGGTGTGCGCGATCCAAGCACCCCCAATTAATTAGGAGGTGCTGGACACACCAGTACCACCCTTCAAAATAATTGGGGTGTCTGGCGCGCCAGCAAACCCCACTAATTAATTGGGTTGAAGGCGCCCCCATCATCTCCCTGCTAGGCGCTAGGCAACGCCAATTAACTTGCGTGCTGGGCTTGCCAGCTCCCATGTTATGCCTCTTGAAAACAAAATTCAAGGGGCACGCTTGATGTCATTCGCCCATCAACAGACCCAAAACCCATAATTTCGCAAACAGAACAGAACTAAACTCAAAGCCCAACAAGTTCAATTTTGCCAAAAAAAAAAACAGCCACCATTTGGGTTATGAAGTTTCAGAGAAACCATTTCTAATCAACTTCACATAAAGAAAAGGTACATAGTATAATTTGATCAACTTCACTTGAACACCAACAAAGGGTCACCAGTCACTAAGAAGTATGAACTGAGAAGAACAGAAACATACCGCTGCTTTGTGCGCCAATGATGGCAACAATAGCATAGGAGAGACCGCACTGGGCAAACTCAGTGGCTGTCATGAAGTCTTTGAGCCCTTCCACGTTGAACTTGCCATTTCCATCAATCAGCTGCATGCCTTCCTCTATTTTCATTACCGATCGAACTCAAAAAACAGCAACTTCTTTTGAAGTCTTCTTTCCCAGGGTTATGCGTTTTTTCGGACTGCTTACTAACAGCACCAAAAAAGAAAGAGGTATCTAATACCATAATAAAGTCAATTGACTTTATTATGGCTGGAATCTAATGCCATTATCATGTGATAATGGCATTAGATTCCTTCGGTTGGAAGCTCTTTTGCTTTTGAGCTCTGAAATACGAAAAAAGAAAGGGAGTTACAATTCCTTTATAAAGATGGAGTGTAATTGGTATTGTGTTAGCTGTTATAATTGTGGTTTAAAAAAATTTATTTTAAAAAAAGTATTTTTAATTGAGGTTGGTTTGAAAAAATATATATTTGGTTAAAACTATGATTGGAATTGAGGTTGAATAAAAAATAGTTTAATGTATTTGGTTAAGAAATACTTTTCAAACTGTGGTTATAAAATAATTAAAAAAGATATATATTAATATTAATAGTTTTTCATTGAAATATTATCGATTTAATTACTATTATTACATCATAAAATTTAATAAATATTATTATTAAAAAAACATGATACATTTAAAAATCACACTTTTAAAATACAATAATTTTAAATATTTTATTTTAAAAACATTTTTTAAAACACAATAACTTAAAATATATGTTTTGAAAGAGCAAAATTAATTATAATGGAAGATATTTTTTTATCCCATCAGTGAGAGCTAGCCGAAACTTGCAAAAAAAAAAAAAAAAAAACTCAGCATAAAGATTTGATATTATTTTTCTTCCTTGCCTCTGTTATTTTTAGATGAGTTCTATTAATAGCTTAAGGAGTTATGACCAAGAGGAGCAACTAGCGAAAAAGATGAGGTCCGCGTGCAAGAGCTGCTGAAAGGGATTCTGTCACGGCTTGGATAGATCAGGTTTGGTTCAAGGTGGAGTTGGTTCTGCTATTACATACATAGTGACTGTTGTTATTGACCACAGTGAAATGAGGAGGAGTTGTTGGTTGTCGGCTGGAGGATGGGAGCTTTTTGTGTTGTTGATGGTGAGGAGTTGCTTGCTGTGAGTTAAAGGGAAGGGCTTGGTGTTGACAGTGAATATGTTCTTCACTGTTCACTTTGCAAAAGTGAACAATGAAAGTTAAACGTAAAAATACAAAACGCTAGATAAAAAGCATGAAAAAATTGCTTTGCCGAAACCTGAGGTTGAACCTCAATTTTAGTGGATTCCATGAACCAAACCATAACTTCGTTTTTTAACCAAACATTATATTATCTACGTTTAAATAAAAACACAGCAGCTACCGCAAAGACAAACGTACTAGTGTTTTTGTTTTTGGATTTTGAACGATTATTTTTCCTTTTGAAGTCAAAGATTATTGTTTTTGTGGCATTTCTTTTCTTTGATTGTATTCTCACGAGATATTTTTCATGACAGGTTAATGTCTTGGAACTCGTAAGTCGTTATTTCGAAGAATGTAATAATTTGTGCTTGTCTTGCCACCTGAAAGTGCTTGGCAATGTCAAACACATCATCTCAATGATGGTGTAATGGCTCGCAAAGACTTCATGACAGCCACTGAGTTTGCCCAGTGCGGTCTCTCCTATGCTATTGTTGCCATCATTGGCCCACAAAGCAGCGGTATGTTTCTGTTCTTCTCAGTACATGCTTCTTAGTGACTGGTGACCCTTTGTTGGTGTTCATGTGAAGTTGATCAATTATACTATGTACTTTTTCTTTATGTGAAGTTGATTAGAAATGGTCTCTCTGAAACTTGATTAGAAATTATACTATGTACTTTTTATTTATGTGGCTGTTTTTTTTTTTGGGTAAAATTGAACTTGTTGGGCTTTGAGTTTAGTTCTGTTCTGTTTGCGAAATTATGGGTTTTGGGTCTGTTGATGCGCGAATGACATCAAGCGCGTGTCCCTTGAATTTTGTTTTCAAGGTCTACTTTATTGCGGTGCAGGTCCGGGCAAATGGGGTGGGTAAGTGCGGTAATATTTATTTTGTGGTAGTTTTTATAGTTGTAATTTAAAGAAAAAATATTTTATAAAAAATAATTTTAATTGAGATTGGTTTGGTATTTTTATATGTTTGGTTAAAATTATGATTGAAATTAAAGTTGAACAAAAAAGTAGTTTAATGTATTTGGTTAAAAATATTTTTTCAATTGAGGTTATAAAATAATTTCAAAAAATATATATCTATATTGATGTTTTTTAATTTAAATATTATAGATTTAATTACTGCTATTACATCATAAAATAAAAAATATGTTATATAAAATATTTTTTATTATTCCATTAAACTATCTACAACTTCATCACGTATGAAATACATTCGATAAGGATTACAATTTCTTTAATTTCTTAAACGCACAACAACATAAAGTATAATATCATTAGGAATAAAATTGAGATTGCAATCAAATTCTGTAAATATTAATTTTATTTTACTGGATTATTAAGCTATCTCCGTCTAATTTATGTAGTGTAATTGAATAATGTTAAATACTAATTTTTTTTAAATAAAACACAATTAAAAATAAAAAGATAATTTTTTTATTTTACTGGGTCAAGATCGGGACTGGC